TATAATGTCTGTATTTTTGCCTATGGTCAAACTGGTTCTGGGAAGACTTATACAATGGTAAGCTTCTCTCTTTGTGTTTGGTTCATGCAGCACTGCAGCAGCATTTCTGTTAGATATAATAACAAAATATACGACTAAAATGAAAAAATGGACAAATATACGACTAAAATAAAAGGAATGGACAAAATAGTGACTATGGGTCATGGCTGTATTTACGTCCGGGTAGTGACTAGTGGTATTTTTTGCAGTCACCATGTAGTCACTTTTTTGTGAATGAATTTTGTTCTGGTAATATTATAGGAAAAAATCATTCTTTTATTGTGAACAATTCCCCTGTTATAAAATGATACTCCATATTCTTTTTGTAGTCTGGGCCTTCTATTGGACCAAAAAAGGAATTTGGAATCAACCAGTTAGCACTGAATGATCTATTCCAGCTCTCATTTCAAAGGAGGGATATAATGAAATATGACATTTCGGTGCAAATGGTGGAGATATATAATGAGCAAATCCGCGATCTTCTTGCTGAAGATCTGTCAGCCACAGCAAAATATCCTTTCACTCTATTGAAAAGTTTACAAGTATGCATTTATAGATAGCAAAATATCCTTTCACTCTATTGAAAAGTTTACAAGTATGCATTTATAGACAAAAGAAATATACATTAGTTCCATTGCAGTAACTTTTGGAATCCTTAACTTGGGATTAAGTTAGAGGTTCGAACTTGCGTAATTGACAGCGGATTAGTCCTTCCGGATGCCACTCTCCTCCCAGTGAAGTCCACTTCGGATGTTCTTAATCTGATGCGGTTGGGCGAGGCCAACCGTGCTGTTTGCTCTACTGCCATGAACAACCAAAGCAGCCGCTCACACAGGTCCCTTTCAATTGTGATGATTTCATTTTTATTTTGTGGGTTACAACTGAAGGATCTGTTTGGATTCGTAGAAGTACTACTGTACTAGTGAAACATAATAGCAAAGAAAACAAAGAAGGGAGTTGAACGGAAAGAAAATGTGGGTGAGAATCAAAGATAGGCTAAACAAAACAAATTAGTCTATGACTTTTATACACATCTTATTTAATATGGAGTATATTATACAAAGACCAAGTAATCTAAATATATACGTAGTATAAATTTAAATAGAAAAAAATCATATCATAATTTCATTTGCATTTTCTTAGACTTTGGAGAGTATTATTTTGGAGAGGGCGAAGTGAACAGAGGGGTATGTGTGGAGGATTGATCTATTTTTATTTGTCTACCTTTTTTCTATTTAATGTTTTTAACTATGATATAGCATTTCAATATATGTTAGCCGACTCCAAACTCTTTTTGGGAATATGGTTTAGATGTTGTTTCTTAGTTAAAACCATACATAAGAAAACATATTTCCTTGGCAGTTTTTTACTCACTTGCAAATTTCCGTGGTCCAAACAGTACTCAGAAGGATTAACTGAATAGACATAGCCTTGTTTGTTTGGAGGTTTGAGAAGAGAGGGAAGGGGTGGAAAGAAAAAAAAAAGATGGAAAGTAATGCTACACAACTTAACTAAAATATATTTTATTTCTAATCCAAAACTAACAAATAGAGATAAAAATAAATCTTCCACTACCCTTCCCACGACAACTCCCCAACAAAACAAGCCCTTGAAAATCTAAGATGCCTATAAAAATTCCATAAATAACTTACTGCAGTGTGCTGAGTGTGCATGTGCATGGGGAAGATGAATCCGGAAACAAACTTCAGAGTTGTCTCAATTTAGTGGATCTGGCAGGCAGCGAACGGGTTGATAAGTCAGAAGTTACCGGAGACGGGATGAAAGAAGCACAACATATCAACAAGTCTCTGTCTTGTTTGGGAGATGTTATTACGGCCTTGGCACAGAAAAGTTCTTTCGTCCCTTACAGAAACAGCAAGCTGACTTTACTGTTGCAGAGCTGTTTAGGTGGGAATGCTAAAACGCTCATGTTTGCTCACGTGAGTCCAGAAGAGGGTTATTTTGGGGAAACTTTGAGTACACTGAAGTTTGCTCAGAGGGCCTCAACTGTTGAGCTTGGTGCAGCTCGTTCAAATAAAGAAAGCAGTGAGGTTTTGGAGCTCAAAGCACAGGTATATAATGAAGATACATTTTTTGTGTTAAGCTTTGTGTATAGATATACTCCATCAGTTCTCTTTTAGAGAAAAAAAACTAGTTTCTTTAGCGCTATGTTGGATCCCAGGTAAAGAAATGTCAAGGAAAGTTGCTTATACTTGGTTTTTTAAATGTTTTTACATGTATTTCGATTTTGTAATCTTTATCTAATTGAAACAAATAATAATCGAGTTTGAACAGACATCTAAAATAACTTTATTGTATTTTAGGCTATATTCTATTATCTCCTGAATTTTTCCTTCAAGTTTACTTCTATATTTTTCTCCCCATTTTCTTTCCCGATTTTCCTAGTTCCAAATGGATCCTTGATCATAAACTTTGAAACAATATAGGAGTATAATATGAAAGTACCATGGTTTTGGATAGAATTAGTCTGTGTACATAAAACGTGACGCTTAAGAGCGCAAGATTAGGAAAGAAAATGCTATGGAAAGTTGTTCCTCTATCTTTGGGTCAACCTTGGAACATGCAAAGGAAAATGAAATATGTCTAATGTTTTAAATTTTTTACATCTGTTAACATGGCTTGTTATTTACTACTATATAATACTACCTCCGTCCCATTTTATGTGTCTTCTTTGGTTTTGGCACAATTTTTAAAAAAGTGGTTGAAAAGGTAAAAGTTGTGGTTGGGATTTGGTTATAGTAAAGTGAAATGTTGTGAACCACATATTTCTTTCCAAAGAGGGAAAGTGGACACTTATTTTGGGACAGCCCAAAAAGGAAAGTAAGACAGGTAAAATGGGACGGAGGGAGTATATATTACATAGTACATTTGAAAAAAGAGAATCCAAAGAAATGTCAAAAATAAAATATTGAGTTTGCGTCAATTTTTTTTATTTTCCTCAACATTTTCTTTTCATTCAAATTTTCCCCGTTCTTTCCTCCGTTTTTTCTTCGTCTAGCATTTTCTGCACTCCAAACGGACCCTAATAGAGGAGGGAGTAATGTATTAAAGAATAAAGCTAAAGAAGAGTGTTATGTTAAATGTGGCATGGGATAGGTTGAGAGCTTGAAAAAGGCATTAGCCAGCAGAGGAGGAGCTTCTTCTCAAATGGTGAAACCAAACGAAGCGGCATGCAGGACTCCTCCTAGTCAGAAACCAAAGACGGCGTTGGGGTATGAGTTAACGACTCCTCCTCCACAAACCACCACTGGCAGGCGGAGGAGGTTGAGCGTTGAAAACTGCACAGCAGCAGCCGATAAAGCAGCCACGCCACTGCCGCAGCCTTCTCTTTCTGTTAATAATACTAAACCAGGCCCCAGATCACGAAGGCTGAGTCTAGAAGGCCACGTTCTTCCTCTTCCCATTTCTGCTCAAAGTGCTATGGAATCCGTTTTGAGGCGCCAAATGGAAAAAACGGGAGCAATCAGAACACCTGAACTGGTGGCAGCTCCAACGCCGACAAATGGAAAGGGTTCTCAGATAAGAAGATCGCTTCGAACCATAGGAAAGCTGATTAATGGATCTGATAAAAGGTTTTACTGTATTTGAAACCGAAACTCTCTTACTTGTGTTTTGTTTTTATTGATGTTTTTATATAATTTAATATACTATAACCTAAACTGCATGCATGCAGGAACCAAAAGGAGGAAGCAGCTAAGTCACCAGTTGCTGCTGCTGCAGTATCTAATGGAAGAACACTAAGGAGGCAATCACTAACAGGCATCTTACCACCGGAGAATTCCAGGAGATCTTCAATTGGCTGGAAATAACCCCCACCACTACTTTTTTGTTGTCTTCTTGGGCCTTGGCAGCCAACTCACTTGCATTGTTACATAGGTATTGGGAGAAAAGTTCAAAAAACGTCAAGAGCAAAAAATAAACAAAAAAATCCTAACCTTGCAAACACTGTTTTGCAATCCTAACAGGAATCTTCTTGATTTACATGGCTGCTGAGTTTGATGGCACCTCATTTTTTGTCATATCAATTTTGTTACTCAGGTTTCCTACTTAACGGGTACTCTGAATATTATTTGATTATATCAGCTTAATTGCTCAATAAAAAATTAATGGCCTATTTACTTTTCTCTTACCCCACCCTTGTAGTTGTCTAGTTCCGTTTTCTGACTTTCTCCATCAGTTTTCAAATCATAATACACATACTCCATACTAAGCAATCATAATGCACATATACCAATCAATAGCAGAAAGTTTATCCGTCGCAGTTTATCTATTTCAGTGGGATATTCAAGTGTTCAACATGAAAAGAAGAGAAGCTAAGAAGTTCGACATTTAAGTAGGAGGCTAGGAGCAGTTTTCAGACCAGTTGTTAAGTCTACTTGAAAAGGATTAAAATGGAAACGGGAAAGATGCTAACTTAGTTTTTGCCTATTCTGGAGGAATTTGAACCAGTTTGGACCAGATCTAGTTCCCGCCCAAAACCAGGACCATAATTACGGGATTTACCGGAAAGTTGTTTGGTTCTTTACACACCCAGTTTTGGACCAGTTCCGGAAGTGGGGATCTGCCCGCCGCTAGATTAGAGACAGCTTACATTACATTGAACAATCAAGTTGACATGCTTTGTTAAATAAATTGAACAAGCTTAAAATTTGGCGCCCATTTTTAGATTGAACAAGCTTAAAACATTTAGGTATCGACTTGCGTTCACAATTCACAAACAAACCAGTATAGTGAGTTCTCAATCATGTTTTCTATACATATAGAATGTGTTTTACGATTCTACAAGCTATCAAAGTTCTATGTGAACAAAGCAATAAGCATTTTAAAAAGAAAATGAACAATCGCTACATGTCAATGATCATTGTGTTTAGTAAAAAGAAATGCGGTAATAATGAAATAAAGGAAGAACACGAGAAATCAAGAAAAATGAGCAATCGTCCCAAAAATTAGAAAAATACTATTGGATGTACAATATGGTTTGTAAAGCGGGTGGACAGATTGCTACTTCTATCAACATGTACCGAAGAGGCAAGCAATTAGCAAATAAATGGTGCTCGGTAAACAGATTCAGAACGTGAGAGTGGTATTCGCCTTAATGAGAGTTTATGGATTTTTGGCTCTATAATGGATGATGTACACAAAAATAGCACATCAACGATGATCACAAAATATTTACAGCAAAGTTAGGAACAATATAAGAGTTGATATGAACGTATGCCAAAATTATACCCCAAAATGTTACCGACTTCCCTTTCTGGATCGTCTATTTTTCACAGCAATAGTGTAATAATAGGCACGGAGAAGACTCTTCTGAAACCTTCTCAGGTTCAACCTGACATTTTGGCGATCAAGGTACACCTCTTTGGTAAATTGCCATCCTTTCACATTCACGCTATTTGAATCCGTAAGTACAGGGTCTTTCTTGTCATATTCATCATACAAAGTGCTTTCATCTGGTAGGATTTTGTAGCCAATGTAGCTCAATCCCATCTTCTTTACTGGTGCACCAAAGTAAGTTTCTGCTGCCCAATCTGTTCCCAATGGAATAATTTGGATAAAGACTGATCCCCTTGCAGGCCTCATGAAGAGGAAATGAGTCATCGCAGCACCATGGACTCCAACCATAACGTCACTTGAATTAAGAACTCTATAAATCCTCGCTAGCTCTAAGGTCTTATTAGGTATCAAAATTTCCACTTGGAAACCGATTTCCTCAGCCAATCTCACCAATGAGTCTTCATTAAGTATTTCTCTGGACCCGTTCCTGGCCATTATAACAAGTTTTGGTACGTCAAAGTTTTTTTCCTCCTTTGCTGAGGGAGAATGATTTTCCATTTCTTCTTGAATAAGACCACGGATTCTTGGCAAATAAGCTTGGTCAAGAAGCTCCCTAAAATCACTCATGCTCTTGTTAGCTTTCATCAACAAAGGATCAATGGTGAGCTCATCATGGATTCTTAACCCAACTATTGCTTCAGGGAAACAGTGGATCCGGTTATCTCGAAAATCCACAGGAGGGTAGTCGGAGAGATGGGGAAGAATGTCATTGTACTTGGAAATCCACCAGTTGTGATATTCAAGAATGACAAAAACGACCTTACGGTTGAAATGTTGAGAAGTGATGTATAAGGGCAAAATCCCATCATTGAATTCATGGTATGCATTCCCGGTGTAGCCTCCGGTCGAGAATACGACAGCCGGGGCATTGTGCTGGACATCACATTGATGGCGGGTGGCGTCACCCTTTTTCTTCACGACGAGATGTAGTTCATCAATGGTGTCCATGATACTTGTTTCCCATTTTCTAGTATAAGGCTTGATCTTTTCGAGTGGGATAACCTGAGTTTTGGGATCATAGTTTCTGAGGAGCACAACTGAAGATGAAGAAGGGTGTGTTCTTACATCCCCTTTCATGACACACACATCAGACCTGGAGCCGCTTCTATCACAGCAAATAGTTCCTTTTGAAAAGATAAAATCAATTCTCATTATTCATAGCTTAATAACTTACTTCTGCACATTCAAGCAAATAAACTTCATTCCTAGGCAAACTTCAGTCATAGAAAAGTTGAGATTTTTCCAATTTTCTAACAGAGATATTTTCCAATTATCTTTTCTGTTTTCCAACCACCAATTTTCTGTTTTTATTTTCCAGTTTTTTGTTACCCAAATTTCATTTTTCATTTTCCAAATTTCCTTTTTCAAATCTGAAAACATGTTCACCAAGTTCTAGCACCGGTCCATTTAGTAGCACCGGTCCATTTAGAATTTCTTCAAAGTGAGGCCTATTATTCACTAAGCAAATCATTCATTTAGAATTTATACAGAAGGCCTTTTCCATAATATTACTAAATTAAATTCAAAAAAAGTGACTAGTTCTGAGTGACTCATCCGTCACGGACTCCGAAATAAACAGTAGTGCCTCCGGTCGAGTTACTTATATACAGGGACTAATCGATTTTTTGTCCAAAAACATAATTAGTCTTATTTTTTACTGGGAAATTGTATACCAGAAAAGATACGGTGAAAATAGAAATCAGGCAACTCCAGTGAAGAAACGAAGAGAAAAAACTAAAAAATCAAGAAAATTGGTACAAATTGAAGGAAATGACTAAACTGACCATTGGAGATTGAGGAGCAAACAGAAGGATGTCCTTCACCTTTAAATCCAAATGAATCTGCATCCATAAATTTCCATTAAATCAAGAAGAAAAAGGATAATTTTACAATATAAATGAAGTGGAGAGATTTCGGAGTTGAACTCACGCAAGACATTGAAAATAATTATGCAAGAAAAGAGGGAGAGAAAGAGGATAATCAAAAGATTGGGTTTTGCTCTCTTGCTACGAGATTCCTCATCTTCGTCGCCGTCAACCAACCACGTGCCGCCGCCGCCCCCTTTCTTCACCAGCAGATGGTTTCTATCGTAGCGACCCATTTTGTATAGAGATGGATTGCTTGTATGGATTGAAAAGCCGAGAGCTGTTGTGTGTGTTTCTCTCTATTGCGAAATGAGATCGGAGAGGCGGCGGAGAGAAAAGGAAGTGACATGAGTTCATTGATGACACGACTCGTTTTCGCGTACCACTCTTAATTAATGAGGACAAATCCCGGGTGGGACCGCTGTCTCCGATTTTCTTCACCAGGACTAATGTCGGTAAAATAATACCACCTCCGTCCCCAAAGTTGACCGGCACGCAGAATAATAATTAAAAACTATATGATTCAGGTTTGTGCAGAGGATAGAGAAATAACAAAAACCACAAAATAAATGATTAAAAGGGGAAAGTGGCAAAACATTTTGGGACGTCCCAAAAAGGAAAGATGACAAAGTTTTAAGGAACGGAGTGAGTACTCTCCCTAGGCTCGGGCCCGAATTTGTGTAGGCTTGGGCTCAAGCGGGAAATATATTGTATTGGTTTGAGTTTGAGCTCGGCTCGAACGAGCTTAAAAAATCCGGAAAAGAGCTCGACTCGCAAGTATTGAGATGGCTCGATTCGGCTCGATTAAGCTCGATTGGCTCAATAATTTTGGTTCGTCAAATCAAATGTTACAAGTTTGATTAGTTGAAAGTTCGGGTTCAAACTCGAGCTCAAGTATGAAACAATATTTGAATATTTGTGCTTAAACTGAAATTAGAGTTACAGGAACAAAAAATAAACAATATAATCCTAACTCCAAGTCTCCACCAAGTTGTACTTTTAATGTAAATCAAAAGTGGTCAAATCATGAAGGAATAGTAGATGAAACTTTGATTGTTTTTGTTAAATTACTTTATACTACGTAATTAATAATATCTCCCCGATCATATATATTATATATACTAATATATACGATAGTACAGAAAAGATCAGGTCCCTCTGGAGGGACGTGAGGTGCCGTCCGGCCAAGGCCATCAGAGGCCCTTCCCGGTGGAATTTTTTGATAAAATATTTTGAGCATGTTCCTCATCAAGTCTAGTTTATCCATACCAAATTTCAGCTAAAAATTCAACCGGGAAGGCACTCAAATGATTTTTGGAAGATAACTGCGTTTTATATGTATATAAACTGCGCAGTTAACTTCCAAAAATCATTTGACTGCCTTCCCGATTGAATTTGTAGCTGAAATTTGGTATGGATAAACTAGACTTCATGAATAACATGCTCAAAAATGTTCAGCAAAAAATTCCACCGGGAAGGGCCCCAAATGGCGACGGTCGGACGGCGGGTCCTGTCCCTCCGACTGCACAGGATCAGGCCTCTACGATAGTATTATATATTAATTTATATTGTATGATAATACATTATATATATTAATATAAATATACAAACATTTAAAACCGGGCTCGCGACCCGACTCACGAGCTAGCAATCGTTAGCCAGCCAGTTTTATAAGTTGGATAAGAATTATGTGTTTGATGCCATCGAGTCAGGGAAGGGTAGAAACAAGGATATCGATTACTTTCCCCTTAAATCAGTAGGTTTGTTTATGGCTCGACTACTTAACGAGCCGACTCGAGCTCGGCTCGATTCGAGCTTTGATTGAGCGGCTCATGAGTAGTTCACGAGCGGCTCGGCTCATTTGCACCCCTACCCTGCGCATGGTATAGTTAGCGTGTTTGTTCTGTTACACACTAGTTTGTCGCTAACGCGAATCTCTTCTTCTCCAGCTCATTGACAGTCGTATCTCTTCTTCTCTAACTCTTGTTTCTCGTTGCTTCGCTCGCTATTAGGATCATTTCGCTTGCCACTCGGATCTCTGCAGTTGAGACTCGTCAACCTCCGGATCGGAACTGCTATGATGGAGCTCTCAACTGAGGTTGTGGGTGGATTTTGCGACCGACACCGACACACGGGATATCAGCACTGATTTGGCTCCTTTTTCTCCTTTTCTTATGCAAATTTGGTAAGTTTGGTCGCTTGTTTGCCACATGTTGCAACCAACATAACATCTATACGAGGTTCTTACTGATATTAGTGGTCACTTCTTACGAGATTTTACGGTTTACCACAGGTTGCGTGGATATCAACATAATGCTCATTTAATAATTTATGTAAGCTCATATAACATTGATGTAACACTCATTTTAAAATGTCATATTCATATATGTTTCAAAAGTATAATATTGCATTAAATTCACATGTCGGATTCATACGGGTTCGATTTGATATTTTAAAATTAGAAAAAGTAAATGAATTATAAAATATGAAGTTGATATCATGATCTTCATTATTAGACTCTCGATACTCAGTATAATAGATCTAATGCTCACTAAGAGTACATTAATATTCATTTAACGGGAGACATGATTTTCACTTAAATTACGAAAATGTCAGCGGCTATACGGTATACGATATATGATTTTGGTGATGTCCACCCCTCCCCTTCCTCACATTACAATTTTTTTATAATTTTTTGTTTATGATCTAATTTTTATAATATCATACCCCGTATCAAGTTAAACAATTTTTTAAGATCTTTGAAATGGTACCAATTACACGTATTAAACATTAAAAAAATGCATATTTTTCTAGTCAATCTTTTTGAAATTTATGTGTGCAATATTGTACCATATTTGAAAGATTATGTAAAACTATATGTTTAATATATTTTTTGTAAAAAATAAATAAAAAGATATAATAATTGCAAAAAAAAAAATAATGGTCATGCACTCATGCCGTGTGATGGAGGATAGTCGGTGAGCATTGGCGTCTTTCAAGGGATCAATTTGTACTAACAAAAAATATCATTCACCGTTGGCATGCAAGGCCTTGTTTGGTTCAAAGGTGGGGAGGGGAGAGTCAGGGAGGGAAGGGGAAGGAAGGATTTTGATAAAAATTTGTGTTTGGTTGGAGGAAATAGGAGGAAAGGTTTAATGAATATAATTTTTCAATTTACTTTTATTTAATAGTTTACTTAAAAAGAAATAGATACATCTCTAACTATTGTAAATATTACTCCTAAGGTCATGAGGCATAATTTTTTTTATTGTTTACTTTTTAAATTTTAGAATTTTTTATTTTTTATTTTTTATTTTTTATTTTAGAATTTTTCTTTTTTTTTTGAAATTTTTAATTTTTGATTTTTTTTATTTTGTTTTTTTTTTACTTTTTAATTTTTTAATTTTTTAATTTTTAAATTTTTAAATTTTTTTATTTTTTTATTTTTTTTTATCCCGAAAATTAAAGCACCTGAGTAGGTGTGATAAATGTCGGGGAACATTTATCAGTTTTATTAAAATTGGAGAGGTTTTACATGAAAAGAAGATAAAAACAATACAAGGAAAAAACTAATGGAAGAATAACTATATTAAAAATCTAATTAGCCCATATGTTATCCCTCAGGGCCCAAAGAGATGAAACCACTATCGTCCAAAGCTTCAGAATAAACACCTGCGAGGAACATAATTTGTCCAAAAACGGAATGTTCCCCAACCCTAGCTTCCCATTTTCACAAGCTTGCGAGAGGCATACGATGTAAGATTCAGCCGGCATCCCTGAAGTTGTAGCCTCCGTGCATGTCATCCCAATACGCCAATCTTGCTTTATGTGGGAGATTGTAGAGATCATAATCTTGAAGGTGTTCATTGTGAAGACCTGATTCTGCCAGGAAGTGCGCGCAGTAGTTTGCTTGTCGGGGTCGGAAGATTAGAGTGAGGTTGTGGCTCTGTTTCTGAAGAGTGATACTTCGGATTAAAGGTTTAAGATTCGTTTGAAACGTTTTGTTTTTCCTGATGATATATAAAGCTAATTCGCAATCTGATTTTACTTGAAACAATCTATAACCTTGTTGTGTCACGTAGGAGATAGATAGTTTGTGATTATCAAGACGTTTCCTCCGAAATACCCCGATTTGGGGGGTTTAGAATGGGAGGAAGTGGAGGATTTTGGAAGCCTTCCACTTTCCTCCCCTTCCCCCCTATTTCCTTCAACCAAACACACACAAATCCCTCACTTCCCTCTCCTCCCCTCCGAAACCCTCCAATCAAACAAGGCCTAAATCAACACTCCACCCCCACCCCCACCCCCGGATAATTTTGGCATCTAAATCTTTTTTAAAATAAAACCGACCCTCCCTAGCCGGGTTGACCGGACGGAAAACGGTTCGGTTAATTACAAACCTGGAAATGGTCAAAAATCGGAAAAAACCCGGCCGTCCCGGTAAAATTCAATTCAAACTCGAACCCGAAAAATCCGAAAACCCCGGAAAAAACCGGTTTTGGTTGTTTTTCTTTTTTTTTTAACCAAAAAAATTGCAATAAAATTTAACCAATAAAATTGCAATTTCAATACCCTAAATAGACGAAAATATACAATATGCTTATATACTACTTATTTGTTTGAGAATAAAAATCATGTCAAATTATACTCTACATAATAAATGTCCAATAAAAATAACAAATATGGAGTATCATTATTATTTTCTTCTTTCTAGTAAGTAAATAACTTTGTGCTGTGGTTCATGTCTTTTGTTTCTTAAGGTTAGCTATTGCACCAAGTGGGAGAATGTAACATTATTTTGAATTTATCAATAATAATGTCTCATAAGTGGTGCAATAATAGCAAATAATTTGTAACGGTTTCCATTACATGAGCCACCTTGATGGTAGGTGACTATATAAGTGCTACATGGTCCTCTCACTCCTCCAAGAATACGCATGCAAAGCTCCATAGCTCAATAGGCTCAAAGCAATATACACCATCTAGATAGTGAGGGGTGAAGTGATAGACAAAAAGGCTTTTCGGTGTTCTTCTGCGTTCTTCAACCGTTCAACAACAATATGGCTGGAGGTTCGCGATCCTATTATTTTCCGCTGCATTGATATGATTTTAGGCTAACACGAACACCCCTTTCTCTCTACTTGTTTTTAAACTAATAGCTCTGTCCCCAACTATTTTTTTAATGAAAATGCCAAACTATATTAATTTAACCAATAATTTTGAGTTACAACCAGCCAAAAACTCAAGATCCGCCAACTATCTTCTAACAGACTTCATCTAAACTCAAGAAAAGCCTTACGATCAGACTTTGAGACGATCACCTCCAAAGAAGCAACACGAATCGCTGACCACCAAAAG